CAGAGTCTACAGGGTCTCACTACACAGATCAGACTTGTAGTGATCCTCCTATTTTCAGCCTCCCAAGTGCTGGGATTAGAGGTGTGCGCCACCACGTCTAGTCCCAGTCTCAGCATGCCCTGGGGTGGGGCCAATGAGCCTGGTCCCTGCACCTTGCTAAGTAGATACTTTAGTCTGCTGAGCTCTCTGGCCGGCTCGACTAAATATTACTTAAATAGTGCACAAGCACACAGGAACACAGCAGAGTGTCTAACTCATGAGCATCTGTCTCCTCTCTGAGCAACAGTGGGACTTCAGTGTACTTTCTTTGTCTTCCCAAATCTTTCTGGACAAGAAATACACAAACCAAGTAGGTAGTCACTTAGGCCTGCTCACAAGTGTTTGATTTGATGTGTCTCAGAGATTCCACACTGTCCCCCTTCTTAAATATTCTTCCTTTGTTGCAGAGGTGTGTGGGGGAACCATGGAGTCCCTACACATGAGAAACAGGCGTTGCCCCTGCTGAACGCTGATGCACCCGGGAGTACAGCCAGGGCCCCTCCTTGGCGGATGTCCAGGCAGCTCCCATTACACAGATGTCAGACCTCCTGCATTAATCCTGTGTATCTCTTCAATTCTCTCTTATCCTTCTTCTCTGTATTGTTTTGTTCCACATTCTAGAATTTTTTCCACGTCCTTATTTTCCAGATGTATAGCTTGGTCTTTGATCACAAAAACCCTATCATTCAGAACTAGCTCTGAATTTTTAATTTTGGCAATCCTTTCATTAATTTTCAAGAAAGCTTCCTTACTGATTATTCCTTTCAAATCTTTCCGAGGACCCTAATTATAGTTCTTAAAAGTTCCCCTGTGTTCTCTGAATTGCCTGTTTGCTCTGTAATTCTTCACTTCGCTTACCTTGTTGCTCCTTCCTGAGGACCACTGGCTGCCTAGTGACACTCAAGTTCAAAGGACAGGCTGATCGTGGGTGGCATCTGCTGCTCCCACAAGCCTCTCTCCTAAACAACAGGGCCTGCGCAATTGCCCGAGGAGGCTGGAGGGCAGAGGCCTTCTGAGCTGCCGGATTGAGGAGTCTTTTCTCTCCTCTGCAGAAGACTGCCATTAATGTGTGCATTTCTGCAGCTGGGGAAAAGCTCTGGAAATCACCACAAGCCCTGCCCTGCTTTCTTCCTGCTCCCTCACCTGTCCTTTCCGGGCCCAAGGCCACCCCAACCTTTTTGAAAACAACACAGCGCTTTCAACCTGCAAGTGCTGCCTGAAGTTCCAGGCCACAAGGAAGAGCCTCAAGGCTGGCTCTCCCGTCACAAGTGAGCTACCTCAAGCTTCACCCTAATACCTCCACCTCCAGCTAGGAAGCCTGGGGCTCACTCAGGCCTTTCAGTCCCCTGGTTCAGGTCTTACAGCAGGACTCCTCCCTGCCAGTGCTTTCCAGCCTTGGCATCATTCCATTCAGTCTTAGTGAACGTGGTGCTGCTGCCTGTGTGCTGAGGGCCAATAGGAACTATCAAAATTGTATGTTCTGACATCTTAAGGACCTCTGTAGGAGACAGAGATAGTTACCTTCATACAACAGCTCTACTGCTTCTTATTCTTTTTTTTTTATTTTTTTATTTATTTTTTATTTTTCAACAAA